TTGCTGTATTTTGAGATATTGTGTACAAGAGATAGTGTGTTAGTAATAGATTGAATTATCGTGTGATTGATCTAAATTTATTGAGACTAATTGGTTTAACTTTCCACATTGTTCTGCACAGATTGCAACAGAATTTTGGTAACTCCTGTGAGGTTGGCATAAAGTATTTTAATTATAAATTAATATATTTTCCAGATCTATAGAAATTTTTAACATATAAATTTAGAGTTTTTTTTCTTTTTCTTTCTTTTTTTTTTCTTTAAATTAAAATTTAAAGCCTATTTTTATTTAAAAGAATTAAAGTAAAATAAAATTGCAACTACAAATATAACAAACTTCTAATCTTTAGCCCATGAGTAAGAATCAATAATCCAAAGCAGTTTTCAATATAGTAAAAATTTCATTAATCAACAGATTTACAAAATGTTAATCTATAAAAATTTGTATAATGAGATGAAGATAGAAATACTTCCTTTAACAGCCTCAACAAAATAATAGCTGATTTGACAAGCAAAAGAGTAGCTAAGAGAGTAACTAGAGAAATAAGTGAATTGCCAAAGGAAATGAAACCAATGATTTGATCAGAAACTACAAGATGTCTTCTACATAAGTAATGACACAAGAATTTCATTGTTTTATAGAAAAAATCAAGGCCCTTTGAAATGACTGAAGAATTTTAACAGGTTTGTGAAGATAAATGAATATAATAATAAATACAAACTTCATGCAGTTAGTGGATATTTGCAGAAACCAGCTGACCAATAGTTTAACAAAACTCAAAAAGGGTAAAACCTCATCACATACTGGAATAATTGAGACCATGTATCATTTGAACCCTCTTTTCAAAACTACTGCTTTAATAAACCAGTAGAAGTTCAAGTTGCAAATAAAGATACAAAGCTAAGTAAAACTGTAGAACACTATATCAATGATATTAAAAAGCTGATTAGAAGAATTAATAGTAAAGATTAGTGGAGCAAAGATGAGAAGGTCTGGTAGTTTCTAAAGGGATTATGGAAGGAAGCATGATCACTTATCCTATCCCAGGAAAACCCTTATTAGAAATGGCTCAGAATTACAAGGCAATTTGAAAAGAATATACAGACCTACCCTGAAACTACAGCTGGCTATAGTGTTGTCACTTCCACAGACATGCTAAGATTTTTACCTGTACACAACAAAAGTAATAAAAAGGAAGATAGAATAGAGCAAATAGTTTAAAAAGTTCTGGTTCCAATAGCTGAGACATTACAAAAAATTATAGAAAAGAAAATAGAATGGTGAACACATATTATAGATAATCAAGTTATGACGAAAACAGAAATAAAATATGAAAAATCATAACATTACTAATGATCCATTTCTAAAGCTTCTCATAGGCCAAGCTGAGCTGAGCCCAAAAGTCTTAGGCTCAGCTCAAGCCTGAGTTTATAAGTTAGGCTCGAGTCGAGCCGAGCCTTACTTATATAGGCTCGGCTCGGCTCGAGCCTCATAGTAGGTTCATAAACTTAACAATTCACAGACTT